ATATTGAAAATTGAGTTCAGTTCACTCTTTAACTTCTGTTTGGTTTCAAATGAATTTCTGGTATTTTTAATGGACAATAATCTTAATCATGAGCGCATAGAGATTTAGACAGCATATGTGCTACTACAACCATTTACATTATCATTATTTATTCTTCTCTACCGAAATACTTTGGTAGAACCATTTTTATAAATAATAAAATAAAACTTTTACTTCTATTATCATCCCTTCTCCCACCCTCCTCTTTACATCTTACAAACAAGTTTCTCCTTTTGGACGCTGTTGGTTGTTTTTGCAACATGGGCCACGTGCAAGTTAAATAATGCAGCCTAGTTATTGGTTGTATGTTTATTTCAGTACAATAATTCTAATTTCAGAGAAAATATTATAAATATTTTTAAACAATTAAAATTTGCTGTTATATCTTTATTTAAATTTAAATCACTACATTTTTCTAGAATTAATAATTTTTTTTTTTACGATTTTACACTTTTACTGATGTTCAGCTTGTTGGGTTTTTGTTTCATATTCCATTCCTATTAGAATATTCAGTATTATCCAATCTGTTATACGATTGTAATAAAGTGAATTATGAATTATAAATTATGACACATATGACCCATGTGCAGGTTAAAGTATGCAGCCTAGTCATTGGTTGTATGTGCATTATGGCCCATGTGCAGGTTAAAAAATGTCTAATCTTTGAAAAGAGAAAGACATTGCCTCCTGGTATAGCGTCTCATTTAATATCAACTCCACTGGAAATAAGATTTTTGACATTTATGGGTTATCAATGGTATGTTTTACCCGGGAAAAAAAAACAAGCCATAGCTTTTAATGCAAGCATGTGGTGGCTTAAACACAATATTTCTGAAAATGAGATGTTGATGAACATAGTGACACTAACGATAATAATAATTGATAGACTTACCAATTCATTGCTCCAAGCAATGAAGCACGACCTCCACTGTATATTTCTTATCTGACCTTCGCCGTCATGAATTACTGTTGATTTGTTTCGGTTAAATAAACCCTTTTCATGTAACAACAGCTGAAAGATAATGAAAAGGCCGAATGTACTCTAGTTCATGTTTAAAGACCTTCAGCTTGGCTACACTAACATCATATTAGCTTAAACATGAATGAACTTTTTATTGATCTAAATGATAAAAAAAAAAGTCTAACTGCATATTATATTATAAATTTCTTGTTTATATCTTATCCTCATTTATAATGAATATTCAATATTTTAAGAATTGTAATAATCTTAATTGTGTCCCAAGTAAACAATGTTTGAAATTGTATTGTGTTACTTTATATAAACAATTGATTGATAATTAAACACCTTAATTTTTAAGCATACCTAATTATTCTGGGACCTACATACAGGTAAAGAGACAAAAAATAATAACCACAGATTGCATATACCTCCACAGAATTAGAACTGACTTTATAGATTAGATAGTAAATCATCCGTCGTATTAATGACATAAAGACAAATAGATTCCTATTTCAACACACAAACTCTATTAACTTTGAAAAAAATCATCCAAATTCATTAAGAATAACATAAATAGTGCAATATGATTTTTTAAAACATTATTTGGTGAGGAAATAATATGAAATCCTTAGTAGAATAATTTTACCATCAGCCTAAACACTGGCAGTATCAGATGCCTACAGGTGCTATAGACGAATCCAAGAAGAATTGCACCCTCTGTGGTCGCCACCATTACTGGGGAGTCCAGGAGAGGTCCCTACACCTAGGCCTACTCCTAAAATGTCAATGCGGTGTAGTTATAAACACAGTACCAGTGAGAAACCTGGCTTTTTATTTTGCACCTGAATAAAGCCGTCAGTCTTCAAACTAAAAATTTATCGAAGTTAAGTATATTTCGTGTATTTAAACATCTTCCAAATTTGGAAATGCCATCCCAGTAATGGCGTCGACAAAAGAGGGCGACGTTCAAAAAAGTTCTCTTGGATTCATCTATAAGCCGAGATGACAATGTGAAGATGCATTATATTCAGGATGCATTACAAGTATTTACTGTGTTAAAACAAGAACATAGTTTTCTTGATACTATAAAACATATAACATTCGATAATGACTGACGTTATCTAACGGTGATAAAAAATGTTAAACTTTATTTTCAGAGATTGATAGCCAACTGGGAATTATAATGCAGCATATGGCTATCATTTGATATGTGCTATATGAAATACACATATTTCTGGAGATAAAATATTATATTTTTGTAGGGTGGGGTAAAAAATTGTAACAAGATAGTAATGATAAAAAAAGAATACTAGGAAGTGAAGGGCTGAAACTAGTATCCCTATTGAAGCATAATTAAAAACCAAAAATAAAAGTCTTTACATTTAAGTTATACAAGTACTGGTTAGGTAAGACTTGTTTAGCAAACCCGCCGCCAACCAATAATGATGATTTCGAATAAAACTTAAATCTTTTCAACCCGACAGAAAAAAAAAACTGAAAGTGTATGCCTGGCTTTTGTCTCATAATTTTTCTACAAAACAGGTTCACTTTAATGAACTTTAATAAAAAGAAAAGAGGAGTGATATGCAAGAAGTAATACATGAGTTAGACACAGCTCATTAGCTTTACATCATTGATCACATGATGCATTTACCTTGTCTCCCCCGGTTACATATCGTCTGCTGCTGCCAGGCTTGGAAAATTTAGGGTCTAAAGCCACAGCCTATTATAAAAGAAACAACACATTTCAGAGCTGCAGTGCTATATGTATGTTCAATGAAACTAGATACAACGAAAGTAATCGAATGACAAACGGATGAGGCATTGCATAGGGTTTAATTTATTCCTACTTGACAGCATCATAGACAGTAGAAATCAGTACGCATATCTGGGAGATAATGGTAGTTTTTATGATTATAAGTACCATAAATTTAGACATGACTTACAGCTATGATGTAGGGAAGTTGTGGATGGGTTATCATGATGCTCGTCTACTAAGCATAATACGCAAAGTACAGGATATTGACGAAATAAAAGAAATACCACAATACATTAACTGTCATTAATCTTAATAACCCAAATTGAGATATCCATTCGAATCCCTGCAATGGACAGCAAATCCTCATTTTCAAAGTAATTTGGAACGATTTACAGATAATCTATGTTTAGCTACAGAACTGAAAATAAAATTTTCTATTTGAAATGAGTCACTATGCTTTCTACTCGTGACCCTGTTTTTTTACCACCACGTACAATCAGTAATATAAGAGCATCGAACATCATGCCTAAAGATAAAAACGGTGGATACAACCACAAGGCAAAGAAATATGTCCAGCTATGGCTGGGAAAAAATTAATGTTGTACATGAACTCGATAAGAAGCTTTCAAATGAAAACTAAAATAATTTTTTTTCATCAGCATTAACAAATTCGGAAAAAAATTCCTTTTCCAATAATCTTTATTTACAGTATTCTCAATTGACTCAATTTATGGATTGTAAAGGCTCTAAATCATAGTTGAATTGATTTGATCTGACTTGCAGTGAGTACTGTAGATAACATATTTGACTAGGTTTTAAATAAGGAATCCAATCCCCTTTTCCAAATAAGTTTTCTCAAAATTTCACCACAGTCGATATATATTGACGTTGGGATCCCAGTAACTTACAACAAAAGTATTTTCAAATGCTCGGCCATCCCATTGCAAAACAGCGTAACTGCTTTCATATTTTTGTAAAAGTTACTTTTTTTTTACCTTGAAACGGCCATACTACACATATATAAAATTTCTTTTGTACCTTAATGGGGCAATCGAACACCTGCACAACATTATGTTCAGATTCATAAAGTCCAGTTACTGCTACCTGAAGGCAAGTAAAAAAAAAACTCAGTTATTTTCAGATGTTTATACAGAATAATGGCTTGACGATTATCAAATTAGGAGTGAAGTTTTGCCCTACCTGAGGTGTTATCATACCAAATACTGTACTCAGTACGTTCACAAATACCAATGGCAAAACATCATACCCATGATATTTTCCTGATGCAAACTAACATCAGAATGGCATTTGCAGTACCAGATGATGCTTGGAGGGTGGATTTAACACTAGTCACAAAGCGCAACCTAGGTTGTCTAGTTGTTATGGCACCAGGCTAGTTATCTGGATGTTGTGGGTTCGATTCCCACACAAATCCCTTGCAAATTTTTTGCAAGTATTTGGGAACATACTGAGTATTGTATTTGGTACGATAACACGTCAGGTAGATCAAAAAAACATTATTCCTATGATACTTTCCTGATGCAAACTCACATCGAATCAGATTATCAACTTAATATACAGTCAACATCATTTACAGATCATACTACTACCATTGTAGCCATGTTACAGCATCACTTCACCACTGTCAACATCATCATAACTATAACCAAAATTATTGTCATCATCATGACCACAGCCACCATCAATTTCATCCACCTCATTCATCATTACGACTGGTTTTTTTCCTATTCTTTCTCTGGAATTTATCCATAACTAGCCCGTATTTTTTAACGGAACAACTGTTCTACCAAAATCTCAGTTGTTCACTTGTCTGTCAATCACTGTTGCCTGTCAACATTACGTCTATGATTATGTTTCAGTCGTTTTTCTTCACACCTGTCATTCTACCATTTTCATTCTCATCCAATGTCAATCACTTCCTACCCGTCCATCATCGGAGCAGCTGGCTATATAATCTCCATTTTGATCCAAGCTGATCTGGTTCACTGTGGTTGTATGCTAAGGGAAACGAAAACAATAAAACACAGTTTTTAGAATCTTCTTGTGAAAACTACAAGTGACAAGAAGATAATCTAAGATTACAAACCCTCGCCCTGTTGCGCCATATTTATGTTCGGACTGATAAAATAATCGATCCATTCCATCCGTCAAACGAGACATAGCATCACATGCCTTGCATGGCAGACCCATCAGTCAGGTGAGGTGTGTCCCCGTGCCCCCTACGGGATCCACCCCTGGTATAAGCCATGTCCAGACTATCAAATTTGATTTGACAAAACATTCAACATGTCTAAATATGGTCATGATGACACCACATCATGACCATATAGGCACATCATGACTATACAGTATATAGGCATACAACCTGCTTTTTTATCAAATATAATGTGACAGTCTGGACAGGGACATAAAACACATTGTTTTAATTTCTGAGATATTCTTGAATTTAACTATCAACACATCTATTACTTACTTACTTTGACAAAAATGTAAATTACAAAAACGTTAGTGGAATTGACATGTTAATTAAAGCATTTTTACCATTCAAAGTACAAATTCCAATTTAAATTAATCTTCTTATTCAGAAGTTATGAATTTGACTTTCAGAATTGGCCAATAGCTATAATATATGATGTACTCACAACGGCTTCCTCCTTCTCACTAATGTTGTTTCCTTGGTGATCCAAAACATGCACAGTTCCCCAATGCGTTCCCATTGCCAAAAACTATAAATTAGAAACAATGCAGAAAAAAAAAACAAAAAAACATTTATAGAGGAAGTAAATGTATCATTGTAATTTTGATTTATTTATTCACCTGTCACTATACAAGGGATTCCACTGAGTGGAAAAACCTCATTAATAACCATATGTATAGTACAGTAATGGGTTCTGTAACCCCTCTGTATAAACATCTAGATACCTAGACAGCAGTATGAACAAATTAAGATGATGCATGCTCTTATCATCTGTGTTTGGAGCAACCTCCCAGCTTTCACAGCGAATGTCTCTGTCTACTCATTCACATCTAATGTGTGACGGCTATCAATGACATGACAGCTCAAATTAGACTCTACAGTATTTGCTAGAGCAATACAATAAAAATAAAATAAAAATACATAAATTATTTTTTAAAATAAAAATTAAATTAAATGATATTCCTCTTGCATATTACAGGCAGCACCAAACTTAAAATATCTACTTCTTTTTTATTTATTTACTTTTTCCCTCCTTATATTTAATTCTTTTATTAACAATTATTTTGTTTATAATACTATGATATAAAAGTAATTTAACGAAGGAAGCAAAGTATATATATTTATACAAAGTGTATATATTTTGCATAACAGAAGCTTTTGCAGATTTATTACTGTTTATCCTTGTTTTAATTTTAGGTTTTGTATATTAATTTGTAAGTATAAAGTGTCTCAAATAGCAACTTCGATTGGATGAACCATCCTCACAAAAAAATTGTTCAAACAAACCATCCCATTAAAGTTTTGTTTAAGCTCTAGTTGGGAGTAATTTATGAAGACTGAAGACTTTAACCTAAACTGACAGAAAACACTAACTATCCTTCCTTCAAGTTACAAGACCTACCCTGGCTAAAAGGAGAATTTACATACTTGCCAATAGGCCTCCTTGGCAGTGGCGTATCCAGGATTTTTAAAAGGGGGATGCTGTATAGAAATATTTGATGGCTATGACTTACCTTGCTATTAATTTTCATTACTTACTGCTATTATATTTGTTTAAGTTTGAACAAAAAGTGGGGTGCTCAGGCATTAGCCCCAGGTTATGATACTGCTGTAGGTTCCTTGTAATTGGGTTTTTTTTAATTTTTTTTTTTAGTGTTTTTAAATCCTATCTCAGCCATCATGTACTATAGTTTTACACACCTTTGAGTGGACTGCCATACAACTTGCTGCATGTTTTTCTAATATCTTCTCTAAATCATTGCGAATACGTTCATATTTTAATTTTGGTTCTTCACACTCCTCTGAGAATGTACTCTCTCCATCTCCATCGGACTCATCCTCGTCATCATCCTCCTCCGACTCCTCTTCATCATCCTCCTCCTCTTCTTCATCCTCCTCAGATGAGAGGTATTGTTCCTAAAAAAAAAGTATGCTGATAGTGATACTGTAATTCCAACATTATTAAGTGCTGGGGTATTATTTGTTATTTCAGTATACATTATCAATTTATTAGTTTAGCAATGCTATTTGTTTATGACAGATACTGTACTGTACAATATTAAAGATCTAGACTCACGGTGTTAAGGGTGTTAAGCTAATAAAAATAAACAAAAAAATAAATTACTTTCCTTATTATGTATATTTAAGTAATTTATTAGGTTTACAATGGATAAACCATTCCAATTCTAATCGTATAGCAATTAAAACTGCTGGTGTGGTAATCATGCAAAACAAAGTAAAATAAATATCTGAAAAAATTAATAACTGGACTGTTCATTGAAGTTGTTAACTTAATTATTTCAAAGTTTGGGTTGTTTTTTTTTAATTTCACAAAGTTTCTCTAATTGATATACTAACTGTACATAAATTAAGATGTTATGCTAAATCTTAAATGTCATCTGGTTTTTATGTCAAAAAAGAAAAACAGGTCCCGAAGGTGTCATGTAGTTTTGCCTCAAATTCAATCTATCCAGATGCCATTTAAACTTTAAAATTTGGTTGAGTTTGTCATGCGCACAAGGTACTGTACTATTATTAGCTTAGTTTGATAAATTCCCCCTAATGATCCAGACATTAGGACCGAGGGCAATTCATATTCATAATTCACAATTTTATTTCATTGAAATATGTAGAGATAGCAAAAAAAAACCTTCCCTGTATATAATATTGTTTGATTGGTCAAAAAAAACTATTCAGAAACACTACATGCACTTTAGTGTCTTAACCATTTCCAGTAGATGCACTATACTTTATTATCTAATTTAACTGATTGCAAAGACTAACAATGTACAGAGAAACCGAAGAATGACAAAGGACTTCAGACACAATAATGACAAGTGGAGGGATATCGATATTGTCATTAACAGTATCGCAAATGCAAAGCAGACATAAATAAATGTCACAGCCACACTTGATTGATAAAACTCAGCATCCTCCCTCGACCTATATATTGTTAACTGTCTTTCATGGCCTACATACTGACGACATATTTCATATCATCATGCAATTATTACCCAGTTTTTTTATCACATCATATCACAAATAAAACAGAAATCTATAATATCTTATTATATAATTGTAAAGGTTGATTTTTTTTTCAAATACTTACAATATATTTTTTAATTAATATTATTCATTTTTTATCCTCAAATATTAAAAAATCTGAAATTCATAAATTCATGCCCTGAGGTCCTTACTGCTAATCAGCTTTACATAAACGATCGTAATAAAAACAATGTGGAAATAATCAATAATCATTCATAAAAATGTATTCAACAAAAGAATGCAAACTAGATAAGTTGACAGTAGCCTGACACAGGGTCAAATATCAAAGGGGGAACTCACCTATGAGGGGTGAAGCGAGTAGGGGGAGGGGAGGGGTGAGACAGCCAATTGTTCCACATGCCAAAGTGTAAAAGGCAAGAGTTTCTTTATATGACTTCTTGCCTTTTGCTGTCTCCTTTTCTACTTCTTTGAATTTTGTTATTTAATGCTTCTCGAAATTATATTAATACATAATATTATTTTTGATAAGGACCTATAATATATTCTATTTTGTAGACATTTTTGTGATTTTTTTTCCTTCTTCTTAATATCGAGTCACTACGTAGCTAGTGTGTATAATCTTGCTTACGTAGTGTGGTATAAGGATTCACAGGTAGGATGGATACCTGACATAGGCCACGACGTAAACGCTCTTTCAGTGGCCGGACAGGGAACTGGAAATGGACCGGTACACTGGGGCAGGCGTGGGCATAAAAATTGGTCGGAGGGCAAAGTGAATTTTTGATTTAACACCAAGGGCCGCACCCAAACTTTGATGCTTCCAGTGAGCTTCCAAAAACCCCCAAGCACTGCTTTTACATCACTTTATTCTCAGTTTTAATGTCTTCTAGACAATTTTGATTGGCATGCCGCAAACATAGGGTTTTTAATTTATTGTCGCGGGCCGCAAAAAAAATCGCTGAAGGGCCGCGTGTGGCCACAGGCCACACTTTGCTCATCTGTGCACTGGGGTAACCCCGTACTCTTCTTGAATGATGTACTGGGTTCATTAAAGTGCACACAAGCCAATTGTGGAGCCACTGGACCTACAAGAGTAGAGCGTGCTGCTCAAAACCAGCGCCAATATTATGACTGTATGTCACGGTTCCCGTCTTAACTGCTCGGCCAATCAACTCAATTTGTTTTTAACACTGAGAAAGAGGAAAATCAATGTTTTGATGATTAGATTTGATTTATAACTTGTCTTACGAACTTATTTTCTTTAAAGACCGTCGGATAAGGGCAGGACAAAAATAAAAATAAAATTTTGTTGTTTTTTTTAATTTAGCAAAATGATTTTGCCAAAATTATCTAGGCAAAGGAGAAAATAATAATAATATTTGTATTTATAAATTAAACAGTTTAGTAATGGGATTGAAAAATGCTTTAAATTTACATAATTAAGGAAGAAATATATACCTTAGTTTTGGAGATTTCAGGGGAGTGGAGAGACGTAAGAAAAATAAATATACAATTTTCGGGGTGGAGGTTGCGCTAACTAGCCAAAAATAAAAGTTTATTTCATTCAAAATCACCATTTTTGGCAGTTGGAGGGTTCCCTAAACTTCTTATACACATCTTATATATATATATATATATAATTACATAATGTCTTGGACATAATTCAAATTGTTTGGAACAAAAAATGTATTCAGTAAGTCACTATAACAACTCCCTGAGTATATACAGTATTTCTAATCATCTTTAGATAATGTCAATATTAGGCCTAAATATCTTTTGTAGAGAATATGAAATTCGGTCCCAAAATAATAAACTTGAACTATAGGACTTGTAGGAGGTTAAGTAGGCATACAATTTATAAGAGCTAATAAGTATATTTTGCTAGGCATGATACCCAATGCCAGCCTAAAGTCAAGAAAACATAGTCATAAGAATCAAATTAGCATACTTTCTCGGGTATAAGCCCACCTCCTTGAACACAAAATTGGACCGATTTTGGAGGCATATTTCTATTAGAAAATACCTGTTTATGAAAAAAACTTGTTCAACTTTATAGGGATCTTGTTCAACTTTATAGGGATCGCAAATTTCATTCATCATCATTCATACCCTAGACTTTACCCAGAAAATGCTGGTACGTGAAATTGGACATGCAAAGGTAGTGAAGGTGTCATTTGCACGGCTATTTTAAATCAATAAACAGAAATTTACACACTTTAATTGGCAGTGCGAATAGAAAACACCAAGTCCCTTCACACTGAGGTAGAGCAGATAGGTAGAAAAGCTGCAGCTTTCGCAATCAATATTTCAGTAGGCCTAGGCTAGGCCTACCAATAAATAGAAAACTTTTTCCACACCACAGCAGTGGCAATAGAAAATAGCAGATTTTTCTGCATTGCCACAGATAGGATGGTAGGCCTAGCCTAGCTGGAGTATCATGGACACTGTTGTTGAACCTCTTTCCTTTGCCTGTATGGGCCTATCTATATACAGTCATCAGGACCAACAAAACCTCCACTGGATAGGCCTAGCTAGGCCTAGGCCTAACTCCACGTAAACCCTCTTCAACATTAAGAGATAGCAAGACTGGAGTTGAATTGAGGTTAAGATTAGGGTGGAGTACTAAAGTGCATTAGCGCCTTCATATTATTAATTAGGTACAAGATCGAAGAGCCTAGGCCTAGGGCTTTATTACAAATTTTCAGTATGTTAGGCTAGGCCAGGCATGTCTATTAATGTACTACCGGCGGTGCGGTACTGCTTGCACTACCATCCAAAAACTAGGCTAGCCTAGGCCTAGGAAATACTTCATAAGCTACGCCGAAGGCAGGCGGCCACACGACTATCGTATAGACAGTAAAGCATTATCAAATTAATAAATGTACACTACAAAATTAAAATCTATACAATATTTTTTTGCAGCGAACTTATTGTATTGTAAACAAACTACAGACCTCGATCGCTTCCGTGTTTTCAGCCATGGTTGGTCACTCGATCGCGAGTCGCGAGCATGTACGTCAATAACCATATGTTAATACATACTAAATTATTACAAAATGTTAATGTTCTTCCGCTGAAATCATCTTATGAAATATGATTAGAATATGAAATGCGATTACAAAAAAATTAAATAAATATCCAGTTTTTATAAAACTTTCTTATAAAATATGTAGATCTAAAATGTACATAGGATATGTTTAATTTTAATTGACCTCTTTTATCTTGGCCCCAGGAGAAATACCGTGTAACATCTACTGGTTATCAGCCCCTGGTAATATAATCTAATTTGAATATAGAAAGCTAGAAGCGATTGTGTTTTTGTTAGAATATCGCTGAATTTACAGAAAACCTTATTGCATAAGTAAGTAGAATGTTATTTTTTCTATCCCATATTCAGAAATATATTTATAGCATTTTCGTTTTTCGGATAGAAATTCACCATTTGTATTTGTCGGTCTTGTAATTATCATAATTTATTGAGAGTGGCACGTGTGGTCTATTGTGGTCGTATTTATGAAAAGCAGTAGGCCTGGCTAAGGCTTTGTGCGATCGCCTTTCTTCAACCAAGAAGAATTCTGACTTATATCGAAATCGCCATCTCACCAAGTAAATTTCAACCGCGTCTTGGTTACTGTCTTTCTTTTACTTTTGATCAGATGTAAATAACGTTGTTCTTTAACTTCGTGACGAATTAGTAAGTACATATACAATTAATTGTTTACTCTCTCTGTTTATTATTATCATAATTTATAAACACATGTGTATTTATTTTTAATTCCGCATTTGTAATACTATCGCCGTTGGTTGGAAGCATACACTGCGCATTCGGAGACGTTGGGTTTCTGTCATCTCTCTCTAGCTTCACAGGCTTCCCAATAATACATGCACGCTTTTGGATTTTAATTTTTTATTTTTAATAACATTTGTTATTAAGAATTTTGATGTAATATTAAAGTAGGTGCTTAACCCACTTGAGTTGAAATGAATGAAATTTGGTATGAAATTCATCAGTGGTAATAGCAAATCATCTTCCATCCATTGTAGAACACGGAGGTGCTGTCTGTCAAAACCTTTGTTGATATTAATAGGCCATATTCTATGCACTCATTTACATCTGCCTGAGCTAATTAATATAGTATGTTAATTGAGTTCTTATTAACTGTAAGTCAGTAATAATAGTGTTCCTCTTATTTTTTTCATTTAATATGTTAAACATAAATAATTCCTAAGTTAATTATATAGGAAACCTCCCTTTTGGATTATGTTATAAAAATGAATAATATCAACAGTACTACATTTGATATAATTTTGTTACAAATTAATATATTGACTTTTTTTTAAGCTGTAAATTTTTAGAAATACAGTAGTAATAGTATATTATGTAAGAGAAGAATAATATTACCTTAGATTTTTCATTTCATATCCTTTGGCACTTGCTGATAACCCAAATACATATTAATAATTTTGACCCTGGCAATATAAAATTGAAATGTGAATATATAATGAGGGATAGCAAGATAACACCTGCCTGGGTACGCTGCATATTCAATCTCTTCTGTAAATTTTAGAAAGGATTTTTTTTTCTAAAATCAATTTATCATATGAATTTCCCATTTAAATAAAGTAAATGTTTATGAATATTAATTTTTCAACATTGGTGTGACTCTTACAGTAGTACTTTGTGAAACATGATTCCTTAAAGTATAAAATATTCATTTGAAGCAATGACCGTTTTAGTTTAATTTTTGTTTGCTATGAATTACTCTATTTCTATGTTTTTACGTTGATGTGTTTACATTTAATAAAGGTTTCATATTAAAAAAGCCTTTTTTATAAGGTTTTTTTTTTTATAAAGTCATTCTATACATGAAATATTTCCAAATGACATTAACATGAATCATTTCTTCATAGGAATGCTTTAATATGTTGAAATAAGCAACTGTGATTTCTAAAATGTTAAAAGGTTTTATTTTATTTTAAGTTGAAACTTATCTTTCCAAACGTAAATACATACCTGGTTTTAAATCCGAAAACATCAAATATACTACAACTTCAAAAGTGTTTTAAAATATGATTGAATGTACAGTAGAACACAGTAATGTAAATTTTTAAAATAATAAAAGCGATGGAATGAACAATGGAAAGATTATTAATGTTATTGTTATATATAGCTTCCCTAATGAGGGTATTTAACATTGATAAATTAGACATTATGCAAATCAATTGTTGGTTGAAACTTGCAGAATGACATCAATTGAACACAATAATGAAGGAGTTAAATTATTTCCTTTGTATTGTAAAAGACAACTTAGAGTGTTTTCCATCTTAATACACAAATGCCTGTCCTTGAAACATTTTCGTACATTAAAGGTAATTTGAGAAGAAAGTCCTTTGAGGAACAAATTCAATTTTTTGGAATTAATTGGCTTGAAGTATATTAAAGTGCACAGGTGGAAATGGTGGTAGACAAAAAAGAAATTTATATTTTTTGTTATATTTATGCAGTTATAGTCGTTTCTTTTATTCATTAGTAATACTGTACTGTATGCAGTAGTTTATACTAAAAATGTTAAGCTTTTTCCTTCACCTTCCATGAATCTTAAAATGAATTTGTTTACTTGATGTATACTCTGATTTATTCCAATAACTGTAATGTATTGAACTACTGTACTTTACAGTAGGCAAATGGAAAAAAAAAAAAAAAATTATACATGGCCATACTTTCTTGCAGCATCAAGTACCGGTATTTGACTTTAAGAATTAATAATTGCTGTAAATATTTATTGTTATTGTTCTTTAACATTATTCAATTATAAATTTTTATTATTAATACTACAGTATAATAATGATATTTATAAAGTTTATTGTCATTATTATTAGTTTATTTTTATTAATCGGTAGATACTATTCTATTTATCACTAAGCTGTTAACTGAATTTAGTTAAATAATTAGATACTTTTCTATTTATTTATCACAATACTGTTAACTGAAATTTAGTTACTATTTATTTAAAGCTAGAGTACTGTAAATATTATTTGTTTGATAGTATTTTTATATCTGGGTTTTTGCACGTTTCTATAATCATTTTCTAGTTTACCAATTCCATATATATATTAAAGTTTTTTTTTATTCACTGTAAAACCATCTAATGGTAAAACTAAATTACATAAAAATAACATTTAAGACAATTGTAAAAGCAGCAAATTAATTGTATGTGCTTAACATATTTTGATGAAATTAACAAAATTATAGATAATTAAAAACATTTTAATATATAGTATCAGAAGTTCCAGACCTGTGTACAGAAACACTTGCAACAGCGGGGAAATCCCCATGCACAAGATTCAATACATTCACCTGTGTATTGTTGAGTATTTGCTTGAAAATCTGGAGTTCAAATCCATTTGTTTCAAGAAAATATTTTCCGCTGTCATTTATATCAAATGATTTAAAGTAAGGGTGGTATATAGTGGTAACATAAAAAATCTACTATATTGAAGATCTTGAGTTCTGCAGGGCCATGCACAGTGGCGACTACTGTATTACATACTGTCACCAATGTTATCAGACAACAACCAATATAAATATATCGTACTTGTTTGTACAGAAAGTGAGCGGCCAAGCGTCTTGTAATAAAAGAACTTTAAAAAAATTATATTTTTCTTCTTTTAATGCTAATCCCCTAGAAACTTTTAATTTTTTTATGGAAAGATTGCAGTTTCTCCTCCTCCACCCCCTCTTTTTTAATGAACCTGGTGTTTGATTTCAAAGCAATAATTATAAATATCTCTAAATTGAAATCTTTTGGAAGCTTGAATAATTTATTAATTGATAAATGAAATTTGTAATTTTTTTTTTTATTATTCATGAGTGACATGATTTTTACATCATGAGGTTCAGGGGCATCGGCTGGTTTCATTCGGTGCGGGTGGGGGGGGCGCTCAGAAATTGAGAAAGCGAAACTGAGGGAGGGGTGCAAAAAATTGAGAATGCGGAACCAAATTTTTATTCCCAAGAAAAATTATGGTAATTTTTAGTATTTTAACTCACTTTAGTGGAACTACAGTAGCCTGCTGTCATGGGAGGGATGGATATGCCTGCCTCCCCAGCCTATGCTCATGGGATTAGTTGAACAAAAGGTATATCAATTATTGTAGCCAAATGTGAATAAGCAATTGCCTGGAAATTAAATGATAATGATCAATTTGAAAGTGTGCTTTTCTATGTGCTTCATTAAAAATATGATTTATTGATCATGCAAGACAGCTTGTCTTCCCTCTCTTTCTGGGCTAAAATGAGAGTTTATTATAGTTTACATTGTAAATATACTTTACTTTACTATAGAAAGATTAAAGTAAAATAATACTTAACACACACATAAAATAATTTTGTATTACTTTTTTTTTGTCATACTTACATCAAGGAAGGAAAACAAAATGCGGATAAAACGACGATCAAATACAAAAGAAAGTTGATAAATTAAATTCATGTCCTACAGTAATGTACATTTCAAATATTTGTCATTCTTAAAATCAGAATTCTTACTATTTTTTTACGATAAATAAAATGTTACATTCTCCAAATACCAGCTTTCCTTCTGTTCCCTGAATTATTACCACATAATTTAATGCATGGGCTGTATATTACAATAAACATATGTGAGGTCTTGGAGATGAAAAATCACTGCATTATGGCATAGGGATATTTATGTATACCTTATTCACTTGAATTTGTAAGCCGGTTTAATAATGCATTACGTATCTTTCAGTCCGGCATTCAATTCATCGAGACATCAACTATCTTGTGTCAGTATTATTTGGTTAACCAGAGGCAATGTACATTCTGCGATTACCATGAAATTTGGCTTGACACAGGGAATGAATGTGAACATATTTGAAAATCAATAAAGCAAAATGTGAGGAAATCATTCCGAAATGGTCTGCAAATTCATTAAAGTAGTTAAAAATGTGTTCTTCAAAAGATGTACATAATTAATGGCCAGAACATGCTATTATTAAGGGAATTTCAAAAACAATTGAAAAATAATAAATAATAAAATGTCAATCTACTTCAATACACTACAGCAAGTGCTATACTGTGCATTGAGTTATTGGATAATTTTAAATCAAATAAATTAATATGAGAAAATGTTATTGCCACAACAGTATAAATTAAAATTCAGTTACGAGATTTGGTAATGTGTAGTAATTTGATGAAAGAATTGTGTATTTGCTTTGAAGTCATGTAAATTATCAATTGGTGGCTTGCTTGAAATAAAGTATCAATTGGGACTTGTCTAAGTCTTACTGAATTAGTTGTAGAGCCAGTAAGATGAATTATATTCAGCAGGTAATTGCTTTAAAAATCGTTGCAAATTAATGCTGAAAACATCTGGTGAAAGAAATAATAGAATTATTGTTTAAAGATAGAAATAGTCCATTTATAAAAAGTGATTTGTTTGTTTGCTTGCTTAATGAAGGGATATGTGAAGACCTGTTTTGGACCCCCTGTGTAAAACAGTTTGACAATCTGTTAAAGATACGATGCTTGCCAACAGGCATTGTAATGTAGATGCTCAAGAACCTCTTTAGAATGTTTCCATTAAAAAATCCATCCACATGTTTTCAACTCTGACATGGTACAGTAATATCGTAAGTGTAGTACTAATAGTAGTTGGTTGAGATGCATGAGTG